TGCAAGAGAGATGTGACCTTCATCTTAGCCTTTAAAAAGTGCGAGTAGCTCAGACTCCTTGCTAATGGGGATCATGGCTGTCTGAGCCGTGCTCCCTTCCGGGGGGTGGGGGTGTGTGTGTGTGGGCAGTTCTCTTCCATTTGACATCTTCCCGAGTGTCGAAACACAATGAGTATCAGGTCAACAGCAAACCTCCCACCAGCTTCAAGAAGGTTTGGACTGTGCCCCAGCCTGCTCTGCTAACAAGATGTGACAAGCTGAAGTGAACAGTTAGACAGAAAGCATCAGGATTTCACAGCATATTTTGCCAGCAACTTATTGTTTTTTCAGTGATTTTGGTTTTTTCCCCCCCCTTCCTTTCACTGTAGCAACTCAAATCTATCCCAGGCTGCTTCTGACATTAACAAGACAGTGGATGACAGGCAAAATGCGTCCACGAGCAATTCAGAGTCTCCCCGCTAAGTAATCATAAACACTGCAAGTTTGCAACAAAGCAAGCAGCTGTCTCTCTCCCCCTGGACAAGGGCTGCTTCCTCACAAATTGAGGCTCTGCAGGTTTTACAGCTGTCGGACAATGAATCTGGGGCCTGTTATTTTCTCCTCCTTTTTTTTTTTTTCCCCTCTCCCTTTTTCTTTCTTCTAATGGAAAATATCTCAGCATTGCCAGGACTCAAGTGCCCCCCTCCAGCACTGAATCAATACAGCCAAGTGACGAGGCTTTAACTTTCTGGCTGACGCTACTGGAATGGGTGCAGAGGGGTTGTGTTACTGGCACATCCTCTCTTCCAAGGGTTTATTACCGTCCATCACATCTCTTCCAGGGAAGCGGGGATTTATTTGGGGGCTGGGAGGGGATTCAACAGCACACAACTTCTGTCCCAGAGGTGCCGAGGGTGAAAAAGCTGGGGAGGGTGGGCAGGACTGGGGGACAGCTCCCGGCAGGGTGGTCACCCTGGGCTTTGCAATTCCTCTCTGGACTACTAAAGCACGTATGGAGCCCCAAAAGAAATCTTTACCCCTGACCTAAATGTAGGCAAGTAGAGAGTGATGATTACTCTTTATTACTTCATTTCTTTGACAGAGGGTTGATCCTACCCCGGATTGACTGGCCCCATGGCCTTACCCTTTTCAAACAAATTCTCCATGATCGATTCTGGGGCAGCCTGCCCTGGACCCCACCTTTACAATGCTTCCTCCCCGGTGCGGTTGCCACAACGCGAGTGGTGGATTTACCTCCCCCAGCCAAGCACCCAATTCCTCCTGGGCAGTTTCAGTGCCAAGTAAATGCCATTTGTTCAAAGCCCTGTCAGTGTGTGGCTGTAAAGCTGCCCTGTCATCCTGCGCTACCCTTGGCAACAATGCCACCGTCTTGTCCTGGCTGAGAACTTGAAGTAGGCTTAATTTTACCTCGTTATGCTACAGCCATCTCTGCCCTCTGCACCCACTCCGTCTGCCACCCTCCTCTGCAGTGGGTCTAGCAGGTAGCAGACGCTGGATGAAATAGATGTATTCTTTCGGTTTATGACTGAGTATAATAAAGTCTGGCCCCAGTGCCTTCCAGGTGGCTTTTGGACATGGAGCATTTAGTGCGTGAAGTGATTGATCTCTGATCTTTAAAATAGAGCTGTGAAGACCAGGGTGCATTTGCATGCATGGGGAGTACAAAGCCGGGAAATCGCAGCTCTGAAACTCTCTAACCCCTGCCCTTTATTTCCTCGTGTTGAGTTTTCCATGCCTGCCAAGGCGCACAGCGGTGATTTATGTATAACCAGAGCAGCCTCCAGTGGTTGGATCTGTGAACTTTTCCAAGCAGCCCTCTATCATCAGCTCACTTGTGGGTTTTGCAGACACCAACCCTGATTCCTCCCCACTCCAAGCTCAGCACAGGAGAAGGCAGGGAGAGCTGGGAGCAGCGGGTGCCCTGCTTATTCTGCTGGGAGCTGCTTCTGTCCCTAATTGAGCTGAAAGCAGCTGCTCTATCCTCACTGCCACAGGCCTGCTGTGCACAGCAGTTTGTGACAATAGCTGAGGAACAGGGATATCACAGCTCCTGTGCCAGCATCCCACCTCACAGCAGGCAGGTCTGCCAGCCAGGGGATATAGGAAATCTCTGCCAGTGTTATCCGTAAACTATCCAGCCCTACAGGTACCCTCTGCGGTGGTGCCCGTGCCTGGGGACAGCCAGGTCTCCCGCTCCGTGTCTGTGTAGCTCTGCTCCCACATAATATTTATCTGCCAAGGACCAGATGATCCTTCTCAGTTAGTGCGTTCAGGCATCGTGGAGTGACAAAGCTCACAGGGAAGTGAGGTTGCAGGACACCTTTGTGTCCCCTCCTGCAGCTGGTTGCTTCCCAGAGGGAACAGCTTTGAGAGAATCACTGCCAGGAGGAGAGAGAGGTTTAGGGGTTGTCTTTTAAATTCTCTCCCTGTGCCCTGGTGATTAGTTTTCAGAGTGATTTTTGCTTCTTGGGGCCCTTCAGGGCAAAACAGGTGATAGACAGGACTCAGACCTGGGGGTGGTTAGAAGGAGATGGGGAAACTGAGCAGGATGTATGTGAAAGCCACCACAAATCCCAGTGTTTGTGCCTCCTCTGAGCCTGCAGACCAGCTCCAGCACTCCGAGTGGCCTCTTCTCTTCAAGGACAGGAGCTTCAGAAGCAATGTACTGAGCTGGTAAATCTACCAGGGAGCAAGGAGCAGCTCAGTCTGTGCTACAGCACTGATGTTTGTGGAAAACAAGGAGAGGTGAAGCAAAGAAGGCTGGTTTGTGTCTAAGAAACTTCCCGTATAAAAAGATAGATTGCTGACACCTTTCCTTGATGCAGCTGCCCAGGCGTTTCAAAGCATCTGAGATTTCATTATCTAAGAAGCACTCACTGGCTTTGTTGGGGACTTCTGGCTGCTTTACAAAGCAATTCCAGTATTATTATTGGAATAAAAACATAACAACTACTAATCCTCTGTTTAAATGACCAGTAAGTTCCCTGCAGGCAATGCTCTGCCAAAACATTTATCTGCCTAATTTTATTTCTTGTTGGTTTTTTGAAATTCAGATTTAACCTTTTGTGATGGGGGTTGTAGGCACGTCTGTTTAGAGGCACATTTTACAGATTAGTGGGAACGTAATTTTGTGATGCAGGGGAGGGAGAGGGCCTCACTTGTCCACGTTAAAGGTGTCTCGCAGAGCTGTGAAACTGCAAATTCCCTTTTAGGTCACTGGACCCCGTTTTTTGGAGGAGCGCTGCCAGGCAGAAGTGCAAAGCTCAACCTTTCTGCAGGTAAGTGGAATCAAATTCAGGTCTCTGGGTGCTGCTTCTTGTGTGTTGAACAGGAGCCAGAGGATGGGACCAGCAACTGTTCCTCTCTGCCTGTTGTCTGGGAGCAGATGCAGCTGGCAGCAGGGCAGCATTTCTTGAGGGCAGGCGCTTTTGGAGGCCATGCCAGGAGAGAGGGGTGCTGCTCCTGGGCAGCCCCCAGGCCTGTAGCTAGTAGCTCTGGCTCTCTGTGCTTGGAGCTGGTGGCGATGTACCTAGCTGACGTGTCACATCTGCTGCCTCAGAGCAGCTGATGGACATGGAGACAGGCAGGGCTGGGCACAGTCACCCCGGGGCTGTTCACACAGCAGAGCTGTTTGGTAAGGAGCATTTGGGATGGTCGGAGCTGGACCCTCAGTTCCCTGAGGATCAGGTGAATGTAGCTGGCCGGAGGGCTTCTGGGGACCCCCTGGATCTGCAGCTCTGAGAGCTCTGTCAGTCTTGCGTGTGGGTCCCTCCTGGGACTTGTTAGCACCAGGTGAATATTTCTGTGGGTGCAAACGAGCTGGAACAAAGTCCATCATCACTGGGACCCAGCTTGTACAGCAACCAGCAGTTACTGCTTGGGGAAAGCAGTGAAGAGCAGGGCATCTCCCAAATGCCTTCCTGAGCATATCCTCCAGCTTCTGGGGCATTATCAGCTTCCTAGGCTGCAGCTGTATCCAGAACTTCACAGGGAAGGCTGAGACATCTAAAATCCAGGTGTGTCCAAAGTCTTCTTGAACCCATGTTAACCTCCAGTGCAGCTCCTGACAACCCTGTCATTTAGCTATGCACAATTCAGGGGCAAAGACAGGCCTGTGATACACCGAGAGGTGTGTGCTGCCTTGAGGCTGCCCTCCTGGGTCCTGTGCTGTGCGTGACAGGTGTTGAAAGAGCCCAGCTAAACCTCACTGCATGTACATACTGCGGAGCGGGTGGGACAGGACGGGTGTCTGGTGATGAAGCTCCTGAGGTTGCATCCTGGGATAACCACAAATTCAGCTAAAAACAAAACAGGAAATTTTCCTGGCTTGTAATCAAATAGGAGTGGGAGAGGGAATGCCATAAATCTTCTTAGGATATTTCATTTGGCCTGGAACAGCATGTTGCGTTTCTTCCTCGGGTTGTTTTTCCCACCACACTCCTACTTTCTGCTCTGACTCAAACTTTCAAATTCAAAGCCAGCACTTCAAAGGGAAGAGGAGAATATTCTGCCTGGCAAATGTTTAACTGAAATATCGCAGCACTTGTGAAATGAATGGTGTCGTTTAGAAAATGTCAAAACAAAAAGCTTCATTCTTTTGAGTTTCCTCACCCCCCAAAAAAAAAAACCCCAGTATTCCCTGACTTTGACATGAATTTGTAAATAGTTTGTCATCTCACCATGTACATCCCCCCAGGCTTATTTTCTTAGCAAATGAAGAAAATGTCACCAAGCCCTCGCTCTGCCAAGGACAGCCTAGAAAAGGGGGAGGACAAGGTCAACTGGAGAAAAAATATTAAAAAAAAACCCCAGAAGCATCGTCTAGGGAGGGCTACATGTTCATGATATGGGTAGTCATGTTATCAGCACCACTTACTGGCTTTTTCTTTTCTCCTCTGCACGCCTGTGGCTTTCAGTTTTGCTGGAGGAGGAGTGAGAGAAAAGCTGGCAGAAGAATTTTGATATGTTATTGTTGCTGTTGCTTTTGTCTGTGTAGTAATGGGCACTTACGTCTACGCCTGTGCACGCCTGCATGCGATCTCTGCGTTTGTGTCTGTCTCCCCCATTCCTCCCTGTTCCATCCATGCACAGCATGATATAAACAAACCTGCCTCTGGACATGTCATGGCTTAAAATAGATGTTCATACATCAGCCTTTCTACAGCAGCGGCGGCGGCAGCAGGAAGACATGGCCGACTGGATCTGAGTACAACACCCGCTTCGAGCCGAGAAATCTCAGCCCTCACCAAGGTAGAGTAAGGGGGTGGGCGTCTCCTTCTCCTGCGTGTCTGTCTGTCTGTCTGCCGAGGGTGCGGGGCTGAGCAGCCTGCGCTCCTCCGGCGATGCCTCTTCAGAGCTCGCTCTGTGCAGCCAGGCAGGCTCTGGGTGCTTCCCCCTCCCTCCAAGCATGGCACGAGTGGCAGAGAGGCTCCAGAGGCAGCCATCAGTGGGGTCCGAGCCCCCAGGCTTGGCTGCCAAAAGGGGGGGTACAGCCAATGCCTGTGAGGGTTTTGGGTGCCAGGAGCGCTTTGGGGTCTGTTTTGGAGGTGGGGCAGTTTCTCTTCCCCCCACAGCACTTTGGGGGGGCTGGCATGGTGGCGTGTTAGGAGTGAGATACTGGAAGCCAGCTTTGGGCCTGAGGTTTCTCGAGCTACATCCCAGGATAGGTGTGGGTTGCTGTTTTTCCAGCCAGCTGTAGCAGTAAGAGGGTCTGTGACTTGGCTGGTTACAGCCCATACTGATGATTTAGTTGCTTTTATCAGACCCTTCTGCTGTTTGTTTCTTAACGCTGCCCGGGGGCTGGTGGCATGTGGCTGTGCCGCAGCCAAGGTCACACAAGGTTTAAGGGCCCCGGCACACCGCCTTGCTGCATGCCCTTTCCAGGTGGGGGTTTTGCCAAGTCTGAATTCCCAGCGTGAAGGAGTCCAGCATTCATATGGGCAGGCTGCGATCTGGCCCATACCCCGTGCTGGGGGAGCGTGGTGTGCTCGATGCCAGGGATGAGCCGTGTGGGCAGCGCTGACCTCTCCTGTGCGGCACCCCAGGATGCCAGGCAGGGTCTGAAGTGCCACCCTGGAACAGAGAGTGGGAAGAGAGACATCCATTAGTCTCTCTGGACTCCCTCTGAGCTCCCCCGTGTCCCTGCAGTGTTTTCCTCCTCTTGCCAAGAAAGGGCTGGAGGCTGCTTCCTTCTGCGCCGTTGGCTGCTGGCCGGCGCCTTAGGCAAAACGTCAGAGCAGACAGACACGCTCCGACCCGGCCTGCCAGCCCAAGGTCGCTGCCTGTCCTCCCCCGAGGCCCAGCTGGCCAGTGCTGAGCTGCTGCCGGGGGGATGCAATGGGGGGCTCTTTGGACACCTTCCAGGGCAGCTCAGGGCAGCAGCAGCAGTGGAAAGAGAAGTGTGTTCTCACGGGGCGGACGTTTCTGGGAGTGGGGCAGCAGCAAACGACGAACATGTGGCTGCAGGGACTGCAACTGCTCCGTGGGTAAGGCTGTCCGGGGAGGTTGCTTGCAGATGTGTGACAAGTATCGGCATGATCTGAAGGTTTTGAGAGCAGAGCTTCATCCTAGATGATCTGCTCTGTAAAATGAGCTTTCCCATCCCCTGAAATTAACTCTTCCCACCCCAAACCAGTCCTAGATGTTCAAATGCAGCGGCAGGACTGTGGTACTTGGAGGGGTTAATCCTGCCTCTCCCTCCCCGCAGGCTTTTGTGCCTGGTCCGTAGGAGTCTGGGTCCTGGCCAGACTCTGCGTGCTGCCATATGGAATCCTCCACCTGTTTGGGGGTTTTTCCTCCCCAGTCCTGGTGGCTTGCCCAGACCTGGCCGCCTTTCGTTGCTTCTGATCGCAGGTTGGCAGCATCAGTTCTCGAGCTGGCGTTGTCGTGTTGGCAGGCGAAGCCCTAGAGCCAGCTCAGAAGGAAGGTGGTCCTGTTGTAGAGCATCTCTTGCCAATGTGGCCCCAACCCAAAGTCGTGGGGCTGGAGCAGAACCTCAGCCTGTGGAGACTCAGCAATCTGGCTGCCTCTCTGGCTTCCCTCACCAGCCTTGCCATCGTCAACTGCTCCCCAGCAGGATTGTTCTTGGAAGGGAGTGTAGGTGATACTCTGTCTCACACTGGGAACCACTGGGTAGCTGCCTTGACACAGCCCTCTCATCAGGAAGGTGACAACTGGCTGCTTTGAGCCAAAATTCCTACAAAAGGGTTGGAGTGAGAGTTCCCCCGTTCTTCTAATTGCATCTTTGCTGCTTCCGTGACAGGACCGTGGGTGGCAGCAGCAGCAGAAGCGACCTCCAGGCCACTCTCCGGCCTTCACGAACCCACAGGTATGCCTTGTGGGTCTCGGCAGCTCCGATGGCTTTCCTGTCCAGGTTCTCCAGGAATGGCACCAGGTCACCGAGCCGGGGCTCGCGGGAAGAGCGCAGCAACCACCCCATCCTCAGCGTCTTCGAGCTGGAAAGGTTGCTGTACACGGGCAAGACAGCCTGTAATCATGCTGATGAGGTCTGGCCAGGACTCTACCTGGGCGATCAGTATGTATCAGAAGGGGACAAGAACTCGGGGGGACTGGGGCTATTTTTGTGAAATGGGGAGATCTGGGAAGGGGAGGTTGGGAAATGTGCGGGAGGAGAGGTGTGGTACACTGGGACAAAGGAGGAGGAAGCACATCAGCACGGCTGTGGTGGGGTAGGCGGAGGAGGAGTGTCCGTGGAGTCAGGAACTGTGAGATTGACTTAAAATTCAAGAATCTTCAGAGTCTGACATTTTTCCTTTGCATCCAGCTTTCTCAGACGGAAATGTCCAGGAGAGCTCTTACATTTGTTTTTTCACCAGTCCAAGCTCACGTCTCTGCACTGTTTGTTATCCTCTGCAGAGATATAGCGGCCAACCGGCGCGAGCTGGCTCACCTGCGCATCACCCACATCCTCAACGCCTCGCACAGCAAGTGGAGGGGGGGTGCTGAGTACTACGAGGGCACGGGTATCCGCTACCTGGGCATCGAGGCCCACGACTCGCCTTCCTTCGACATGAGCCCCTACTTTTATCCTGCAGCTGACTTCATCCACCAAGCGCTGAATGAAGGTCAGTGGTAAAGATTACTGGGAGAGAAATGGAGAGCAGGAAGGGGAAGCAACTCCCCTGGGCAAGTGGGAAGCTAGATTGGCATCCTAATGCTAAGCATCCTAGGAAACAAAGGTATTTCTAGCCTGGGATAGTGCCTCCTGCACTGGATCAGCTCCTCCAAAGAGGGAACAGGCTAGATGAGAGCACTGGCCCTCCAGGTCACAGCCCCAAGCTGTGTCCTGAGCTGTGGCTGGTCCTATTCAGCCTGTTTTGGGAGCTCAAGAGGCACTGATACCCCTTACCAACGGGGGACCCTCAGTGCATCACATTCCTCCTGTAACTGGGGCCCTACATCCAAGCCCTGAGGCTGCACACCTGAGCCACAGCTCCAGGCTGCCCCATGGCAGACAGTTGGGTCCGCAGTGTTTTTTGACTGGGATATTTGGTCTGGCGTGACACAGCCCCTGTGTTTCACCCCCAGGAAGGATCCTTGTGCACTGTGCTGTCGGGGTGAGCAGGTCAGCCACCTTGGTCCTCGCCTACCTCATGATCCGCCACCACATGCCCCTTGTAGAAGCCATAAAGACGGTCAAGGACCACCGCGGTATCATCCCTAACCGGGGTTTCTTGCGCCAGCTGGTCACCCTGGACAATGCCCTGAGGTTGAAGAGGAGTGCGTGACGGAGGACAAGAGGGGTTGTGCGGTGGGAGCGTTGTGTGTGCAGTGCTCACCTGACCCCCATGCCCGCTGAGTGGCAGAGACAGGGTGCAGACGGTTGGCAGCTAATGGGTTACATGCAACTGGTCCCCAGGGCCTCTCCCTCAGCTAAGGGGGTCCCCAGACATGTGAGCTATTCCTAGTGGTAAAGTATAGGCCCTCAACCTGCAATCTTGCCACCTAGGTAGGCCTAGCGTATAGCGTCCTTCCCAGCCTGCTCGTGCCAAGACGCCTCCAGAGGGATGTGGCCCCACTTTTCAGGTTGCTCCATCCCTGTTAGCTCCAGGAAACCTTCTCCCACGTGGCAGATGCACTTGCCAAGCCAGTCCCGTCCCTCCCTCCCAAGAGACCTGAAGCTCTGTGTGTTCCTTGTCTTGTTTCCCATTTGTTTGTGGTTTGCGTAGCGATGTGAATTCGGTCCGGTGTGTGGACTCGGGCAAAAGGCCTTTTGTCTTAGTGTTTGGGTGTCCTCCATGCCTAGTGTTAACCTGTACAAATAAAGACAGTGCTAAGGAAAAAGCTTGGCCATCCCTTGTGTGCTTCGGGACAGGCCGGGATCTGTCACGGGAGTCGGTGGGAGAGCATCACCCTGTGTGCTCTGGCTTGAGGTGGACCCGAGTCCTCCCAGACCCTCGGTCCAGGGACTGAACCTTCCAGACCCCACTGGTGCCCAGTGCCTGTGCTGGGCCGCCCCACTCTCTTTTGTTCCAGCCGTGGGGACAGAAAGGGGGGCTCCTGGTGGAAAGCAGAGCTGGGCTGGCAGTCACCAGGTCGCCAGCCATCACGAGGTGGCGATGTTGGTCTCCCAAAGGCAGGCAGGCACCAAGATAGCGCCCAGGCTTGCAGGTTGTCCACAGGGGCCTGCGGAAAACCAGAAGGGATGGGCAAGCTCGGCCCCAGGAGGGTGGCCAGGGCCAGGAGCGAGTGTCTGCAGTGGCACCAGCCACGTGGGTGCTGGGTGGCCCCACGGGTGCTGGGCTGTCCCTGCACACTGCCAACTCTCATTGTCCTCCCGCTCTTATTATAGCCCCATTCTTCCTCCGCTTCCTGAGGGCGCACGAAGCATCCCTCGGCTGCCGGCTGGAAGTGCTGAGATCACGTAACCGCGCAGCGTGAGGAGCCCGCAGGGTGAGCCGCTCGGCTCAGGGTGCGCCAAGGCCCATCCTGTAGCACCCCATCACTTAACGGGGGGCCCCAAGCATCCCTGCTCCGGGGGATGCCTGCCTTCAGCTCGAGCACAGTGCAGAGAGCGGACTTCAGTTCGCAGCTCCTGGGCTGGGGGCTCTGCTCTCACAAGTCCCTGAAGTGCCCCAGGAGGGCCCAGAAAGGCACCGGCAGAGAGAACAGACTGGCTGCCGGCAGCGGGCCTGAGCAAGGGCTGCAGACACCGAGGCGAGGAGGAATTGGCATTGGGCAACGCGCAGGGTCTAGACACGCTCTGTGACGGTGGTGCTGGGACGGCTGGACGCGCCAGAAGCTTCGGCGGGGAGGATTGCAGCTTGGCAATGTCCTGGGGGGGGTGTAAAATGCCTCTGATTGTGCAACTCTGCTTTGTGCTCCTTGCTGCTGCGAAGCCCCCTTTGTGCAGCCTGCTGCTAATCGGCCCCCGAATGCGGAGCGTGGCTGCTGTTTGACAAAGCGGGGATCAGGAAGGCTCTGAGCGCGAGGGAGAATTGTGTTTGGAGGATCAGCGAGTTAATCCAGAGAGCGAAACCACCGAGAGAGCCCACGGTGTGCTGCACCTTACTGTGTGCCAGTCGCCCGCGCCGGGAGACCAAAGTGTGGCGAAGTACCCTGATTGCAGGGGGGCCGCCAGCCCGGACCCCTGGCAGCAGAAACCTGCCTGATCCCTGGGGCTGTTGGTGGAGGAGGATACACCGAGCCCACGGCCATCCCGGGCATGGGGCAGGGGGGGCACACGGGCCATTGCACAGCCCCACGCCGCCGCCCTCATGGTCA